TTTATCGTGATGGGTGTATGAAAATTACATTCATTTGTAGTATAAGATCAAGACTGCACTTGATTCCTATTTCGCACAAAGGTAGATGTCATCTGTTTACATGACTTAAAAAAAATCTGTATCTCATAAAGGGAAATGAATGCCTTTAGTCACATTACTAGGGAAAACAGTTTTGTTTTTGTTGACGGTACTCGGCATCGTCTCTGTAAAATTAATCACAAGAAGTTCTCTGATTGATCTGGCTTTTTCTAGGTCACTGAGCTATACTTCCAAAGTGTTTATACAATCTATTGGAATCAATAAACAATTTAAACTGATGTAACTGCAGAATGTTTGCAAGTCCCAAGGAAAATTGGAGGTATGACAAAGAATACAGCGGCAGAAGTTTATTTCATTTACTAGGGCAAACAGTCACTGAATGGAATGACTTTTTCCTCCGATGTTGTAATAAAATACTGACACCTTAATCACATAAATAAGTAGCCGGTGGCTTTAAAGCGCATTATTAGTGGGTTTAAGCAAATGCAGTTCCTTTTATTTATAGTTTAAGCAACTGTGCTCTAAAACCTATTTTATTAAACAAAATCTTTAATAGGAGTTAGCACATCATAAAATGGTTTCAATGTAGATGATGGGTGTTGCATTTCAGGCGTCGTTTTATTTTAGGATGAATTTTGGTGGGTGTAAATATTAACATTATGACTTAAAATGTAGATTAGACTTTATAGTTATTATTAAAATTAGTAAAGATACAAGCAAAACTAATTAAAAAGGAGCTGATGCTGTTTTTAATCATATTTAAGGTTTTGATTTTTGTAAATTAAGTTCACAGCTTATGTGATTGGCAAATATTTCTTATACCACAGTGCACACTAGTGGTTCCTTCAGTAAAATCACTGAAGAAATGTATATAATTTTTGAACTAAGTACTTAAATTTTCTGCTGCGATACACAGGCACATCTCAGATGAATGAGTACAATAGCAAGTTTGATTACATCTTTTTCCACGACAGAGCAGCTGAA